ATGATATCCTTGATACATCCCACAACTCATCTGGTCTTTGATTATTGGTGTTCAATGTTTCAAATTTATTCTTAAGATCATTTTGAAATTCAGATGGAATAGATTCATGATCATAGTCTCATTTCATGGGCTAGTTTTAATTTTCTTCCACCTCAATTTGAACTTGCAAATTAGTAGTTGATGCTCTGACTCACAGTCTGCTCCTGGCCTAGTTTTGACTTCTGGTAAAGAGCTTCTTCAATGATTCTTACCAGATGTAGTAAGTCGATTCCTATGCTGCCTATCAGGTGAGGTTCATTTTTAAAGACACTGAGTTTTTTTCTTTTTAAAAAACGTACTTGCAATTCCTTCAGTTTTTTATTTAACAAAAACAAACAAAAAACATACTTGTAATTCTTTGGAAGCAGGTGTGGCATCTACTTCCTAAACAACATGCCTCTGGAAGCTCTATGAACCTTGATAAATGATGATGGTAATAGAAAGGCTTCAGGCCTTTTGTTCATAGCATCACAATGAGTCATGCTCAACTTGACAGCAATCAACAGCAACAAGCAACAGCTTGCAATTCTGCTATCCATGGCTAGAACCAAATGGGAATCAGCCAGAAATTCAGGAGCCACATTTTTCTTGTGTTTCAGAGCACCTGGTCCCTTCACTCAACCACAGCCTCATATGGGCTAAGTCATCACGTCAGGTTTTCTCAGAACCCTCTGTCCTACAAACTAACCGCACTTCTTCACATATCCATCACAATATGATTATTGTGAAAATAATCTTAATATACCTTAACATTACATATCACTCATACTCATTTTTACAATATATTTCAACATAGAAGAAAAAAAAAACACCAAAACATCATAAACAGACTTTTAAAGAAATTCTTGGCCTTTCAAATTAAACCTTTTTGTCTCAGGCCATAAAGTGGCTTCTCAACTTTGTTATGTGCCATTGAGTTGCTTGCGACTCATAGTGACCCTATGTACAATAGCCCTAAACCCTGCTCTATTCTTTGCCAATCTCATTGTCTCTGATACGCCTATCCCCATTAACTCAGTGATTGAATGAATCCATCTCATCTTATTCTCCTGCACTGTCCCTCTGGCCTCCAAAGAATGACGTCCCTCTCCAAGGACTGATCCTGCTTTGCAACATGTCCAAAGTATGTCAGAGGAAGCTTCAGAATCCTTGCCTCTAAGGAGCAGCCAGGCTTC